AATCGACTACAGGCCAAACCTATTCGCTCATTAGGTTGTGGTGTTCAGACGAACTTCATCAACGGTACTCTACATCGTCTCAGAGTCGGCAAAAAATTTAAAAGGTAAACGTCCATGTCCTAATTATAGATTCCGCTGCGTTAGGATTTATTTCGATAAGTTCAATACTGTGCATGTTGTTTGACGTTCCTAACAGAACCCAACATCTATCACATTCCCCATCAATAATATCAATAATCAATAATCAATACTCATGTGTACACACCTATCATTAGCTACAACTAGTATCTTCGAAGGCATCACCATGTGTCTTACATCGTCAACTAGACCGTAGGAGTACATGTCGAAGGCATCTCCATGTGTCTTACATGGACATTCATTTCGAAAGCATTGTCATGTGACTTACATCGAACAAACATATCGAAGGCATCGCCATGTGACTTACATCGATATGGCCCACCATGGGTCTTAGGGGAAAATCTTAACAAGGGGATAACCATTCGGTGGCCCCTACAGCTCACACCGAAGGATACATGATCCACATGCATACTTTGATCATACCACAAATAAATCATTTATTAACATTTACAGCATAGGAAATTTCATAAGTAAACCCACCTGGATGTTTTGAACTGAAACTGAGGGTCGCCGCTTATGTGGAAACTTGAAGGCTCGACTCCTCAGAATATACATAATTATAAGCTATACGCGAATAAATAACTAACCTTCAACTTGGTAAACTAATTCACTACTTCGAAGACATTTTTAGTTTAAGTCTTTGGTTAGTTAATAGTCCGTCTTGCCTATCATACTCAGCTAAGACATTTGAGGCTCGTACATACTTCATGGATCAAGAAATAAACCACTTAGGTCATATAATCGTGCATTTGGATGGTGTGTGCCATTTTTCGGAACCAAACTAATGATTTTGTAAAACATGATATGCACAACAATTTTCAAATGAACCCATCTAGCAGCACATAAGTCGTAACAACATTAAATCAGTGGTATGTGATTTCTAAGACATAAATTTACAATTCTCATGTTGATCACTTAAGTCAGAATAGCTTTAAAACTGAGTTTAAACATAAAATACTTAGGTTAAGAAATCTGCCAACATAATTATTTACCAAGTTATAACACTTCACTAAAATGACAATAACTCAAGTTATAGAACTCTAAATCAGGAAAACTCAAAAACTACAGAAACTACACAAGGAAAGCTACAAATTTCAAGAAGAGAATTTTTACAAATAGTCAGGTTAAAGACCTCATTTCAGAGTATACATACTGAGCATAATCACAACCACTGTTTTAAAAATTCTGGGCATAACCCCAACTTGGAAAAATCATATGAAATCAACCAAAACTTTAAATTGCATGATTCAACTTCTAGTGAAAGCTTATAACATATACTATAAGTTTCATGATGATCACATATTCATATAGCCACATTAGGATCATCAAAAATAGCCCAACATCATGATCCATAAATCTGCCCGGAATTATAAAAACTGCATGCATGTATTACTTAAAAAATTTATAATAAATTCAAATTAACTCCAAATCACGAAATTCTAAAACTGACAGAAACCTAACTCAAAATACTACAATATTATGAAGAACACTTGACCATAAAACAGCTACTCGGTTACGAAAAACTGAGCATAAACAACAACTATAACTTGAGGTTTTTATTCCAATTTCACACCAAATCACACGCTCATGAACATAGCATCCAAGACACGTAAATCATATGTTAAGAAAGCCTCGATATCATCAATTTAGGAATTAAACATACAATACATTGAAAACACGTTGTCCGTGGTCCAACTCGATCTTATTAAACACGATAGAAAATTAGCATTTAATGGTTCGCTTGAATTATTACGTATCTTGCATTGATAACACATGATAATTCACGATAAATCAATTAATACATAACCCTATCAAGAAAATCTCATTAAGGCTCAACTCGTATCACACATATCATCACATAAGATCATATAGACATCATCATCATCAACACCGTATCACGTGGATTCGAACAATTATACAAACACGCAATAATACCGGGTCTAGTATGCATAAAATCACCAAGGCCTTAACATAAATCGCATTAGCACATCAAATATACGTAGGGGAGTCGAGATTACCACGCTCCTTGGTTCCACCCAAAAAGAGGAGAACGGAATGAGGCTCGAACATGGCCACTAGCGGACTCGGGAAGAATCGTCTCGCTGCAGCCCAGAAAGCCCAGACGTCCTCAAAAGCAGCTCGACTGCCTCTGCTTAAGCTCCCGGTCACAGCTCGGAAGAAAGGCGCCTCAAACCACGAAAAGCCCCCCTCCCTCGGGTGGTGCTTAGATCAAAAGAAACAAAAAGAAAAGTCCTCAGCCTGGGCTCCAATCGGCAGCTGTTTAAATGCTCGGTCATTTCTCGATCGCATTCGGTACCTCGAAGGACGCCTTAGCCCACCGCTACTCTAGACGGTCCCTCTGTCCGGTGGTTTCTTGATTCGACAAGGATTT